CCAGAGTGTCTCTCTCTCCTTTGCCATCTTCCCTTCTCTCTGGGTAAGCGTCTTTTTCTCCTTTTCTGTTCTAATTCGTGGCTTTGCAGGGAGGAATCACAACTTCTTCAAAAGCTGGTTGCACTCGCTGTCCTAAGTGGACCTGCTTAGGGTAAAGGCGAGACGCCAGCACCCTCCCTTGCGGGCACCCTTTCCTACAGAAGGAAGAGCCCCATGTTCTGAGGTCTGAGCTGCTTTCGCCAGATGTTATGCTCAGGCAGTGTTTTCTTTATTTCCCAAAGTCACGCTATTTGAACATCCCTTCGGAATACTTTGGGTCTCAACCCCAATTTTCGCAGCATTGCCCTGAAGGTCCCAAGTCGGTTGATTGATGTCTGCAATTTTCACGATCTTCTCAGAAATGAAATGCTCCATGAGGAGAGGGCAGATTTGAAAAGGTGTGAAATAAAAAACTGGATATTTTCTGAAGTGAAAAAAGAAAGAAACAAGGGTCATTGAGCTTAGACCTCGACTAGGTTATCTAGGGAATGGGAAAAGGCAGCAATGCTTTTTGTAAGGTAGGACGGTCACGGTTTTGCCAGAAAATAACAGTTTTCTCCTGGTTGTTTTCTTCTTGGTGCCTCTGGATATGTTATGATTCTGCAGAATTTTCATCTCAATTCCACTGACAGAGCCTGTGCCACCCTCAGTCCTGCCCGCAAACCATCTCTACTGAGAAAGACAGTGAGGCTAGGTGGCTGTGCGGAGGGGAGTCAAGGGTACTAGAAACACCCAGATAGCTCTATCTCCATGGCTCACCTCTTTTTTCTTACTAAATAGATGTGGAGCAAAGATGATTTAAGGTATTATTTAATAATCTGAGTTTCTAGATAAAGCCTGTCTTAGGAGCTGAGTGCTTGGTCACTTGAGGCACAGGCCAATGCTGTGTACCAATGAATCTCTCTTCTTCCCTCTAGAAAGGCTTTGATTTTGTCTGGTTACTGACGTTGATGTTTTTAGCTATGCTGACAACAATGTCTTTCATCAAGTGGAAGTCAAGGTTTTGCGTGTGAAACGTCTTCACAGATTACAGAGCTGTCCCTGGTGACATGAGACATGGGCTCCACACATCCTTTGCAGGAAGGAACCAGGATGGGCGCATCACAGACACAGTTCCTGCACTGAGGACAGGCTCACGTTTCGTTTGGGTGTCACGATTCCTAAACGTGTCAGGAGCGTTCTGGGCGTGGCTGGGAGCAGAGCTCTGGTGGAAAGTGGGCTGGGCACAGTCCGGAGGACCGGCTGGCGCCTCTGCCGGGCTGTGCACTGCCCAGTGACCAGCAGGTCATATTCCTCTGGGGACGGTCTGTGCTAGTGGGGCAGCGCCGCTCTGGTGTTAGTTACACATGCACTGTTGGGACGGGAAGGAGTGTTTGTTGCCACCTAGCTCAGTCCCTTGGTTTTACAGGAAAGCAGACTGGGACCCTCAGAGCTGAAGGTTGCTCAAGGTTGCTGTGTCCCCACTGGGGTCCAGGCCTCCCAAACCCCTGTGCCCCAGGGGATTCACATCCAAATGCCCTTTATGAAAATGGTGGTTTTTTTTTTTTGCTTTTCTTTGTTTGTGTGGATGGGAGGGGGAGCATTTAGCACATCTGGGATGGTTTCTTAAAAAGAAGGCTCTCCATGTAGACAATGAAAGGGCATGGGTGCTGACTGGCCCTGCTGTTGTCCCTTTCTTCATAGTATAATAAGTAGCATTGGTTGAGCATCCCAAATTCAAAAATCTAAAATTTGAAACTTTTTGAATGCTGATGTGATATTCAAAGGAAATAAACACCAGGACATTTAAGATTTCAGATTTTTGGATTTGGGACGCTCATCCGGTAAGGAAAATGCAAACATTCCAAAATCTGCAAAAATCAAAACCCGGAACACTTCTGGCTGAAGCATTTTGGATAAGGGACACTAAGCTGGGGGGTGAGTTTGGACAAGTTTTCTCCAGGGTCTTTTCACTCAGAAATGCCCCTTGACTCCCAGGCTGTGGCCACAGGGCACGTGCTGAGCCAGCAGGGAAGAGCTTCCAGAAGATGTCATCTCGCGCTAGGCTGGGGCAGGGACAACTGGGGAAGTCCTGGAACACAGAGTCCACTGAGGAGCAGAGATGGTGGCAGAGCACACATGTGGATGGGCGTGCCTTGTGGTCCCGCTGAGTCTCTGGGAGCTAGATGGGGTCACAGAAGGCAGGTGGGTTTGAGGCCACTGGCATGAAAGTCAGATTCACAGAGGACTTGAGCTGGCTGCCCCTGAGCCAGGAGCTCTGAGACGTTTCCACCCTTGAAATCCGATGGTTCTGGTTCAGGCTTGGCTGGCACAAGGCCAGTGACCCAAATGTTTGTGGAAAGAAAAATAGAACTGAGGGTACTGCATTTTAGAGCCTTTGATGCCTCCTGATTTTGATGGCCCCAAGCACAACATTTAATGAAGTGAGCAGATAATAAATGTAGAAATCAATGCAAGACAACACCCAAAGACACCTTGAGGGGCAAATTACTATGGATACCTAGGAGTCAGAATGAGGAACACAGGAAATGTGTGCACTTGACTCAGCTTCACGCTGCTAATTGCTGCAAAGTATATGCTCCTCACACATGAAGTGTCTGAGGACTTCCAGGCCCACACAGCCGTGTTGAGGCGTCAGTGACGTGTTGGTGCTAACTGTGCACACATGGTGGGCGGGTTGTTCCAAGCTAGTTGGAGGGCAGCCGGTCATCAACCTATAGAGACCTGAGTCACTTCTATCATCCCAAATGAGAGCACGGCTCTCAAAAAGGGTGGGTGATTCTCTCTTGAGGTGATGGCTGCCATGGATTAAAAGGTTCAAGTTCGCTTGTTCTCACCTATGACCTAGGCCAGATTTGGACTCTTTCCTTTGCCATGAAAGACAAACACATTTGAAGGTTAACTCAACATAAGTGCAAGTAAATGCCATGGTGAGGGGACATGATGGGGAGTGTCCGTGTGTTCTGCTGTCATGGAATTGCCTCTGTTAGTCCAGGTAGAGAAGAAAGTCTCGGGCAGGAGTACACTTGGGGCAGTTTATGGATTCTGGTAGGTTTCTTTTTTTTTTTTTTTTTTTTTTTG